TTTTTGAAAAAAGTCAATAGTTTTTGAAATAATGAGTGTTTGATAAAAGAATCACCCTCTATAGTAAATTTTACGTTCAGCAGAACACGTGTAGCTCCGTTAACTTAAAAATTAGATTCAATTAACCTCTTATAAAATTTAATGGTATGATTGTTATCTAGAAAACCTCATATGATTTTTACTATATTTAAATTTTAAAACAAGTTATGAGTATTTTAAGATGCACAAAAAATTTACAGTTTTTAAATACTCATAATTCGCTTTAAATTTTAATATATAATAAAAAGCATATGAGGTTGTCTAGATAATAATCTTAACTTTAAATTTTATAAAAAGTCAGTTCACTCTAATTTTTAGGGCTAACAAAGCTACACAGTACACGTGTTCTGCTGAGCGAAAAATGTACTATGTTACGCACTTGTAAGACGGAGACAACACATGYGGTTATCACGTCCTCTTAAGGCCCATCAGCTCCAATACAGTAGGTAGCCTTATTTTCGGGTGTGATTTTTCTTTAGTTAGGGAGATGACTGTTAATACCCTGGAAACCTCATGGTTGTGGTCCTCGGTCATTTTTGTTATTGTCATATGGCCAGAGATTTTCCATCATCTGATAATTTTAAATTATGTAATAATAATAAATGCCCCAGCTTTACAGCCTTGGGGCATTGTACTTCAAACATTTTAATATTTTATCTTGACTTTTACAACTTAATAACAAGTAAATAATAGRCAATAGCTAGTAACTAAATAATAAAACATATTATGTACTTACAATGTGGAACGTTGATCAAGTGTATTTTTTTTTTGTAGCTTCCTCTATGTGCACAACAAAATTTGATCTAGTAATATTTCAAATCACTTAATGCTTTAACCATTCTACCATTTGGGAATTTTGTATTGATGGAGGCCAATGTCTTACAGTCTTTAATAAAATAATCTACAAAAGATTCGAATTCTTCAAACGATTTAAAACTATCTTGGAGCTTCATAATTATATATTTATATTATTTAACTTTAAAACTAAATAATTGATAGATAAGTAACTTGAATAACTTGTATAAGGTTAGTGTAATTAACTTTTATGGGTTAGTACAGCTCTATTCTTATCATAGGGTTATACAATGGAAAGGATATAAAGGTAAGTAAAGGCCAAATAAACAATTAAAGTATTCCTAATAAAAATCTATTATTGAATATTCAAATACGTGCTCAATACTTTTTAGAATGATACTCAACAGGTAATTTACAGTGTGACCCGGTGCTCTAGACACAGCGTTTAATGTATCGTTTTAAGGATTTTGAGGAATATAGGCAATATCAAAAATGTGGGAAAGTCGATATCAAGAAAACTTGCGACAAATTCAAATCTGTCTACAGATTTCTTATTGTTTCATTAGGTATATAAATTAGTACGTTGGAAATAAAATGTCTCTATAATCCTATATGTTKTACTTGTGTTAGACAGAAAATCACCGCTTCCAATCCCCTTAAAAACTAATCTACTTATCATTGGAAATAACCTAACAAATAACAAATATACTTAAATTTAAGGCTATAACCGTGGTTACTAATGGGTGTAACTCATAGACACATCAATTTGTTAATAGGTCTATCAGTCTATGATGTATTAGCTCTGTCAAATAATTGTTAAGTAAACAAAAATAGTAAAGAAGTTACTTATTTTAGTAAATTCCGGTTGGGCTTACAGTGATGAATGGTAACATTGAGACAACTATTAATTTTATAACTTGTATATTGTAAATATTATTAAAATGATTAAATTAAAAAGTACTAAAAATTAAAGCACATAACACTATTATATATATATATTAGTCTTTTTWAGTATAAAACCATAACTACATTTTATAGTAAATATTACACTGTCTTTACTCTTGATAGCAATTAAATGATATAGTTCACTCAACAATTTTTGAAGWGCAAATAAGTGTTTATTTTTCCTTTACCCACTATGCACTGAAACCCTCATACATGTAACCATGCAGAATTGTATAAGTTAGGCACTTAACCTAGGTATCTGACTTTTTAACATTTTTTTTTTTTACAATTTGTATAATAATTTGTACAAAACCCTTTGTGGCTTTGTTTGTCAGGTAGTATTGAAGTAGAGCTGGGAAAGTTAACAATTGTTAACATCTCAATTGAAATCAAAACTATTATTATGATAAAAATTAACATAAATTACACACTTACTATAGGCAAAGGTTTGATTGGCATTATGTGTATCCCACCAATTTCCACAACAGCTGGTACTAACGGTTTAGATTCTAACATTGTAAAATGAGTGTTAACCATGATCAAACTAGCATTCAAAATTAATTGGTTCAATGAAATTTCAATGTCAAGATTTCGTTTGATGATTGCTTCGTCTCTAGTCCGACATAACAGTTTATATCCAAGTAGTTGTACTGTATGAGAAATGGTATTTACAAGTCTGCCATAAAAGTTCATTTTTGTGCCTAGACTAGACAATGTTGAAGGTATATTGGCTAATGAATATGGCTGTCCTATCACATGCTGATTCCAAGGCAACAAGTTGCAACTACTCAGAAGTATAAAAGGTATGTTGAACTTGAGAGCAAAAACCAAAAACAATTCATTATTAAAATGTTCTGTAATAAGTAAATCAAATGTAGAAGAACTGTTTAATAATTTCTTCACACCATCTACTGTAAACATGGCTTCATACATTTTTCCATTGTTATAAAAACTCCAAATCATATTTATTGATCTTTGTACTTCATTCATTGAACTGTCTTCTGTATGACTGATATTTTTTTGGTTGTTTGTAAAAGGTACTGATCCTCTAATTGATACATTATTTATGTTTGGATGTTCTAGGGGATAGTTACTAATAACAGTAATGTTGTGTCCTCGGTTCGCGAGTTCTTGGATATATGGTTGGTAAACCAAATTATGACTAWAACCTTGATGAGGGATCACAGCTAAGATGTTTGCAGAGTCCGCAGGAGAAAACACAGTTATAGTAATAATTACTGTTACAAATAAAACGATCATTATAGTGGGACGGATACAGTTTTCCAGATTTTGATAACAACTGATAACAGTAAACTTGATTAGAACAAAAAAAAAAGGCTCTTGCAAACCTATAAACGTTAGCACAATCCACGAACGGCACGAACTAAGAATTWAGATATTATAATAGACTGGAAACAGTGGGATGTGGCCATGTGGAAACTGGGAACAGTGGGAAACGATAGTGTAATCGGTTGACACAAGACTTGCGGCC